CTTTAAAGAGCAACAGTCAGCTGTGGAAACTGCTAAACCAAAAAAGAAAATCAACCTTTTGTTTGTGACATCTGACTCAGATGATGAAAATGATTGTGTGTCAATCTGCACTGGTTTGGATTGTTATCAAACAGAACCTATCATCGACATGGAAGCATGTCCTCTGGAATGGTAGGCAAAGTACGAAGGGATGTATGAATCTTTACTGCATCTGGCATATAAATATTCTGCGATGCAGGCTATCATAGTGCCATGAAAATGCCTATCCTCTCTTTAAGGTGACAGTGTAAATAAGCAGGTAGCATTATTTCCTGCAAATGTAAACAAAAGTATTTGTCTGAGCAAATCGCTGGGCAAGACATAGAACTGAGTGAATTTATAGGCTCTAAAGCTTTGCAATGTTCTGTTTCTGAGTGCAGTTTTTTGTACATAATTCTACATTTCTAAGTTCAACTTTAATGATAGACATTGCACTATAGTACTTGTATTAAGTGTATTGAAAAATATTTTTTCTTTTTTTACTGTGCAAATATTTGTAATAAAAATATTAAGTGAACACTGCACTTTGTATTCTGTTGTAATTGAAATAAATTTGAAAACAGAAAACATTCAAAATATTTAAATAAATGTTATTCTGTTACTGCTTAACAGAGTGATTAATCGTGATTACTAGGTCTGTCTAGTGATTAAAAAATTAATCATTGAAATATCTCTTTTGGGAAGGGTCTTCAGCATTATAGAATATAACAGTACCAAACACTACAGCAGTTATTATTGATGATTACAAAACATCTATTTCCATAAATTGAGGCTGTCCATGGACTCCACTTAAGCAATGGTATTTACATATGAGACTAGCTTTGAGCATATGAACAGTCTTTTTGAAATCAGCAGGGACGACCCACGCCATCTGGGCAGGAAATAATGTTCCTATCCATTGAAAATTTTGAAGATTTCATTTTCCCCCCATTGTTCATTCGGATGAAACTGAGAGTTTTTTTTTTTTAATGGAAAAACCATAGAGCATTCCCAGAATAGCCCCATGGTTAGGACACTCACCAGGAAGTGGGAGTCCTGGATTTGAGACCACCTTCGTCTGCTTCAGGCAAGGGATTTGAATCTGGGTCTTCTGCATCCAAGGTGAGTATACTGACCATCAGTCTGTCTGGGGTGGGTTAGTCTCTTGGTCTCATTTTGGCTAGCAATCCCATCCTATAGCTGAGAGAATTTACAAAAAAGAGTTTTGGCTTACAGAAATTTGCATTTTTTCAATGAAGTATGCAATCAGCTCTACTACTAATGCTTAGGTACTTCAATGAATTGAGGGTACGGACATGAAGACAGATTTTGTGCTCTGACAAGCATAAAACAAATGACAAGACGCAGTACAGTGAGAATTATTAATGAACAGGAGTCATTTCTTGAAACATTGATTCAAAGATAAAAAGGATGCTATTTTTAATATCTCAAAAGGTATGGGCTCAGTTCAAGAGATTGTCCACACAGATTCTGCTCTTTGGGCACAAGAGCATAAGATTGGATTGTTTTCTACAACAGTGTCTGTAGGGGGCTATGCTGGATGTTGAGAGCATTATCCTTTCATTTGAATAGGTTCAATCCATTAAGGTGTAGTTCATGACATTTGCTGAAAGGGATAAGGGACAGCCTTTGTCTTCACAGAGACTAAATGGCAGGGAAGCCGATAGAATTGCTAGGCCCTTGAACAAGGTGGGAAGGGGAGGCTTTGTGCTTCCGGAAGAGGCGGTGCCTCAGGTGGAAAGGGTGAGGCTGAGAGTAGCCAGCTGTCGGCGCCAACTGGACTGTGCCTCCCCACTTCCCACCCCTTAGCGTTGCCCAGAGTGACCCACCCAGGGCTCTTGTAGTGATTTAAAAGGTCCAGGGCTCAAGCCCCTGCCAGTGGTGGTGGCCAGGAGCCCTGGACCCTTTTGAATAGGGTTACCAGATGGTTTCCCAAAAAGTACTGAACACACGTGCTAGAAATTTGTTGAGCCAAAAAAACAAAACCATCACAACTATGCTTAACACTGAATGGGAACGTTATTATAAACAATCAACAGTCTACATCATATATTTGGACTATGTGAACCTCCCAGCGCCAATCGCGGCCCCAGCTCCCCAGCCACTCCCCTCGCCCCTGCCAGGCTTCCTCACGCAACCAGCTGAGGGCTCCCAGCGCTGATCACAACTCTGCCTCCCCAGCTGCTCCCCCCGCAAGAAAAGCAGAAAATACCAGACATTGCACATTGTTGAATACCGGATACCTAGCAACCCTACTTTTGAATCACTGGGTCCTGGGGCAGCTTCCCTCTTTCTCTTCCCCCCGCATTGGTGGAACAGCCAAGTGGGTGTTGAACAGCATCAGGAGTTGCCCCATTTTGACTAAGATGAGCCACCTGGACAGATTAGAGTTAATTCCACCAGATTTCAAGTGACTGGCCTCCACAGCCTGCTCGGAGAGGTATGTAGATGAGCAATGTGAGGTTTTATCCAGTCCTTTACTATTCATTATCCTCTGGTGCAGGGGTCAGCAACCTTTCAGTGGTGAAGTGCCGAGATTTGACTTATTTGCCTCTATCTATGGGTCCAAGTGCTGGTGATCCTTTTTAAAGTCAATAATAATCCTACTTACTGCAGCTTCATTACTAAATAAAGAAAGATGCAGATCTTGCCTTTTAGTGCAGGGGTTGGCAACCTTTCAGAAGTGGTGAACCAAGATTTAAATTATTCATGGATCTGTGTGCCAGGGATATGGTGGGGGAGAGGAAGTAAGGGCAGGCTGGGTTCGGTGACCCTATTTTCTGAACCAGTCACAGCTAAGGAGAATGGTTTAATATAAACTATGAAACATATGAAGTGTTTTAACATTCTCATGTTAGTTTATCAAACTTCATTTTAAATAAAGTCAAATATTAATTTATGTCTTACACAAAAGGTTTCAATGTTTTCTTTATGGCAGGGGTGAGGAACTTTTTTGTATCGGAGGTCAGTGACCCAGAGAAAAATCGGTTGGTGACCACACAAGTGAGAAGCAAAAAAACTCCTCCAAAACCCCCAGTGGTCACTGATGTGGCCCCCAACTGAGACACCTCATTCCTCTGGTGCCCCAGCCTCATGGAGTGAGGGGAAGGGAAGGGGGAGACTGAGGTTCAGGGCTTCCCATGGACCAGATTTACTTTTCTGGGGTTCCAGACTTAGTAGATTTTATGGACCTCCTTAGGCTTTGGGGTAGGGACAAAAACGAGGGGTACAATGTGTGAGACAGGGCTGCCAGCAAATAGGATAGGGATAAGGGTGCAGGATCTGGGAGGGAGGTGGGGTGCAGAAAGGGGAGAGGTTGCGAGGTCTGGGTGAGAGGTAGGGTGCAGAAGCAGGCTGGGAGTAGGGTGTCTGGCCAAGTGGAGGGAGCAGGAGCAAGAGAGAGTGCCGTGTGTGGCCAGGAGAGAGGGTACAGGAGCAACGTGGATGAACGAGCAGGGTGGGTGTCTGGCCAGGAGAGAGGGTGCAGGAACAAGGGAGGGTGTCAGAGCAAGCTGAGGATGCTGGGTCTTGGGGAGGGTAGAGGAAAGTGAGGGGATTGAGGTGGGGGCGGGTCTGGGCATGAGGGGGGACTTTACCTGGCATCATGCCCCCTTGCAGCAGTGGCCGCAGCCATGCTGTCCCAGCCACCCCAGAGGGAGGGCCTGCTGCTAGAGCCCACGTGGTATGGGCCCGGCCCCAGAGGCCCTGCTGCCACTGTTGACACAATCTGGGGCTGCCCCAGAGGCCTTCCTGTGGCCTGGGGCCGGCCCTGGAGGCCCTGCTGCTGCGGCCCACGTGGCCTGGGGCTGACCCCGGAGGCCAGAGGTGCTGGAGCTGCTGCCACGTGATCCCGGGTTGGCCATCGACTGCGTGGCTGCAGCAGCAGCACCTCCAGGGCCAGCCCCAGACTATGTGGCCGCAGCAGCGGTGCCTCTGTTCCTGGCTGAGGTGCTGCTGAGGAACCTCAGCCCCAGCGCTGCCTCCTCCCACCGCAGCCTAACCTGTTGCAGGGAGGAGGGAGCGATCTCCAGCAGCTGCGCAGGGGAGGAGGGGCGGGGCAGACCTCCCTCCCACGTTGAAAATTGGCTTGTGTGCCATAAGTGTCATACCTGCCATAGGTTGCGGACCCCTTCTCTGGTGCAAGCTTACAGCGCAGTTGCTAGTTCAGGTAGGTATTTTACAGTCACTTTTCAGACCCTCCTGCCTTCTAGCCCAGGGTTTACAGCTTGTTAGCCACCAAGAGTTGAAAGGGTGTGGACAATCACTTGGAAGTGAACCACAATTATTTACCTTGCAGTATCTGGTTCTTCCAGATTGGTTGTCCACACAGATTCTGAATCTTGCCTTTCATCCCCACTGATTGGCATCCTGCCCCAGGGGGTTTATTAGCAAAGGAGCTGAGTGCAGACTATGATTCCCCTGCATCAGAATGAGTTAGTGCCTCCCTAATTGCTCTTCTTTGAAACACATGCTTATCATTCAAACATATGGAGTTTGCCATGATTTCACTGAGTAGTGATTGTGACCATCACAAAGAGATATGTTTTGAGAAATTTGCTGATTTTTGTAAATTGTCAATTTGCACGTCCATAAGTGAGATCCAAATGGGGACAGGCCTCAAATCACAACTATAGTGTAATACCATTTTGTGTCTGTTGCTGCATCCCTCTTCAGTAGAGCTTACTGTTATTGATACCACAATATAAAATAGGAATTATAAATAATGTCTAATCCTTATCCAAGGATTGAAACATGTTCTATAACAGTGGCTAAGCAAGGCTATGCTCAGTTTTATTGCTAGCAAAGAGAGAGGTTACGCATTTGCTCAAATCACACAGTAAGCTAGTGATAAAGTTAGTGATAGAAACTTTGTTGTCTTATTCCCACTTACACTCTCTAATCGCTCAGTTAAGTAGCGTATATCTTGATTATATTTAACTGATCTTTCTATTGCATTGTAGTGCCAAGAACAAGGATTTTGGCCACTGGTGGAGCATCGTACAATAAAGAAATCTTACAAGTAAGTGCAGAATGCTGAGTTTAAGAAAATTACATTGCAGTGGGTATTAACAGCTTTAGCAATAGAGTTTTATATTGGTATAATGAGTCTACCACCTCTATAGCTGCACACTAGATTGAGAATATATCTTCAGACATTTGAGATTTTGAGATACTTTTTATATTTTGAGATACTGTGTCAAGTGTGTTAACAAATTACAATTGCTCCCCATGTTTTATATGTTAACCCAATGCTAATTTTAAATTGAGTTTGCTGAAGGGTATTTACAGTTGACTAGTTTATCACGTCTTTTTAGCCACCAAACCTGAGTTCAGGTATCAGAGGGATAGCCGTGTTAGTCTGGATCTGCAAAAGCGACAAGGAGTCCTGTGGCACCTTATAGACTAACATATGTATTGGAGCATAAGCTTTCGTGGGCAAAAACCCACTTTGTCAGATGCATGTAGTGGAAATTTCCAGAGGCAGGTATAAATATGCAGGCTAGAGATAACGAGGTTAATTCAGTCAGGGAGGGTGAGGCCTACTTCTAGCAGCTGATGTGGAGGTGTGAACACCTAGTGTACGTCTAAACTACATGGCTCCGTTGACGGAGCCATGTAGATTAGGCAGGATGGCAAAGGGAAATGAAGCGTCGATTTAAATAATCCCCACTTCATTTAAATCGAAACAGCTGCCACGCTGTGCCTATCAGCTGATTGTCAGCACGGCGCGGCAGTCTAGACTGCCGCGCTGTGCCGACAATCAGCTGATCAGCACAGCGCGAGATAACGAGGTCAATTCAGTCAGGGAGGATGAGACCCACTTCTAGCAGCTGATGTGGAGGTGTGAACACCAAGAGAGGAGAAACTGCTTTTGTAGTTGGCTAGCCATTCACAGTCTTTGTTTAATCCTAAACTGATAGTTTTCAAATCAAATTTGCAGATGAACTGTAGCTCAGCAGCTTCTCTTTGAAGTCTGTTCTTGAAGGTTTTTTTGTTGCATGATGGCTACCTTTAAATCTGCTCGTGTGTGTCCAGGGAGACTGAAGTGTTCTCCTATATGTTTTTGTATGTTACCATTCCTGATATCTGATTTGTGTCCATTTATTCTTTTACGTAGGGACTGTCCAGTTTGACTGATATATATAGCAGAGGGGCATTGCTGTCACATGATGACATGTATTATATTGGTAGATGTGCAGGTGAATGAACCCATGATGGTGTGGCTGATCTGGTTAGGTTCTGTGATGGTGTCGCTGGTGTAGATATGAAGGCTGAGTTGGCACCGAGGTTTGTTGCAGGGATTGGTTCCTGAGTTAGAGTTACTGTGGTGCGGTGTACAGTTGCTGGTGAGAATTTGTTGGTAAGAGGGCATTTAAGGCGTCATTTAAAAAAATGTTCAACATTGAACCATTAATTTCAGTGAGAGAAGAGTTAGGTCAGTGGTGAACACTTTTGAAAGTCTCAGCCACGATGTCTGTGGGGGTGCTGGAGGTAGGACACGTATAGCATAGGCAGCATTGATTTCTACTGCATACTGCCCCGCCAATGCACCTCAGTTCCATTCTGAAAGGACCACCTCTCGGTGATGAGAAAGTAGTTTAGCCTCCCTAGCCTGTTTAGTCTTCAGCCTCTCTCCTGTGATGGATAATTAGTGCCAGTTGTGATGGTTGTATCTGTGATAAGGACAGTTGTCCAGTAGTAACTGGACTTGAGATTGCTTATTTATTTCTACCTACCACAGAACAGCCAAAGGTCTTTGTGACAAAATGACTCACCAGCCAATGTGCCACCTCGAGTTGGGCAGCATTAGGGTTTCCTCGCTGTCATCTCAATTACACACCATTGGGGTCTGCTGGGTGCCCCTTTGTCTAGCGACTCAGCTCTCTGGCTAGGCCATGGTTTAGTCTCACTGCTTCTGAGGAAAGTGAGAGACCTGTCCAAATACAATCTGGCAGCCTTGTGTGAGGACTGCAGCCTGACTCTAGGCCTACTATTCCTTATAACCCTTGTCTGGGGCTTTCACCAGTCTTTTTGCTTTGCAGCTCAGCCAAGAGCCCCAATAGCAGGCTATTAAGATCTGCTTCTTCAGACCACCTGCTTCTTGCCTGTAGCAATCTGCCTCTAGGCCTTCTTCCCCAGCTGCAATGGGCAACATCAAGTGATCCATCCCTTGTCATCCATTGCTAGCACCTGGCAGCTAGAAGCCTAGAGACAGATCATGGGATTGCATTCTTCCCCATTTATGGATCTATCCTTCATGAATTTATCTAATTTTTTTAAATTCAGTTACAATTTTGGCTTTCACAAGATCCCCAGGCAATGAGTTCCATGGGTTGACTGTGTGTTGCATGAAGTAGTACTTCCTTTTATTTGTTACTAGTAGACTTAAGCTGGCATTACCCAAGTCCTTCAGGTCAGGGCCTTAGGGATATGGAGGAGGTACAGGAGGCTGGAGTCAGGGGCCCGTTTTTTCCCCTAGCCCACCAGCGCCTATCTCCCCCCACAGGATCCCCTCCCCATGGGCCTGGTTTCTCTCCCCCCTAGGTCTTCTCATGAAAAGTTCTATCAGTTATTTTAATCACTTATGAGGAAGAAATCACACATTCCAAATGGTTTGTTATGTGTATGAATTTATATGAAATTAATAGGTAGCAGGTTTAAAACAAACAAACAGAATTTGTTCTTCACTCAGCACACAATCACCCAGTGGAACTCCTTGCCAGAGGATGTTGTGAAAACTAGGACTTTAACAGGATTCAAAAAAGAACTAGATAGATTTGTGGAGGTTAGGTCCATGGCTATTAGCCAAGATGGATAGGAATGGTGTTCCTAGCCTCTGTCAGAAGCTGGGAATGTGTGATGGGAGAGGGATTGCTTAATGATTCCCTGTTCTGTTCACTCCCACTGGGGCATCTGGCATTGGCCACTTTTGGAAGACAGGACACTGGACTCAATGGACCTTTGGTCTGACCCAGTATGGCCGTTCTTATGTTAATTTATGAATACACTTAAATTCAGTCACCGAGACACTAAAAGGATGGCTTGATCAATTTTCCGTTTGTCCCCTAAATAGAGTTGTATTTGATGCCTGATACAGATGGATACTCAGAGATGCTTATTTCACAATGCTATCTGAAGGGAACACAGCACTGGCTTGGTTTAGATTAAAAATAAAACACGTTTATTAACAAAAGAAGATAGAATTTTATATAAGTTCAAGTAAAGGGTAGAGATAGGTGTGGTTATAAGCAAACAAAACTGAAAACATTTTCCAATGGCTAACACTTAATACAACATAGAATCATAGGGCTGGAAGAGACCGCAGGAGGTCATCGAGATCAATCCCTTGCCCAAAGCAGGACCAACCCTAACTAAATCATCCCAGCCAAGGCTTTGTTAAGACAGGACTTAAAAATCTCTAGGGATGGAGATTCTACCACCTCCCTAGGTTACCCATTCCAGTGCTTCACCACCCTCCTAGTAAAATAGTTTTTCCTAATATCTAATCTAGACCTCCCCCACTGCAACTTCAGACCATTGCTCCTCCTTCTACCATCTGTCACTACAAAGAACAGCTTCTCTCCATCCTCTTTGGAACATCCCTTCAGGTAGTTAAAGGCTGTTATCACATTTGCCATGTTTACATTTATTCAAAGTTGTTTTCTTACCAATCTACCTTCCAGCAAGATGGCTGATCACCACTCAGGTGACAAAGTCCAAAGTACTTGGTTCCTCTATCTCATTAGATGGAAAATAAATGGAGGTTCTTTGCCTCTCTGTGTTAAAGTGCTTGCAATGGATCCTTCTGCAGGTTATCTTAAAGCAAAGTTCAGTCAAGCTATGAGGAAGGCAACATAATCTTGTGGTAAAGGAAGCTTCACGCTGGTTTCTTTTTCTGCTGCTTGCTAAAATGCAAATTGGTCAGTTTCCTGCAATGTCTTCTCCTTGCTATGATTATCTCCTCCCCTTGTTGCCTTGATAGTTCTGTTTATTTTTTTGTAAATTGCATTTCCATTGTCCATTGTGTTTTAGAAGTGCACTCAAAGTGGGAGAGCCACATTCCATTGTCTAGAGTGGGGTAACTTCAGCCCTGCCCAGCACACAGTCTTTAAGAACATAATTCATAGTATGTTTGTAATTTTGAATTTGACCCCGGTGCATACAGCACACAGTAATATAAATGATGAATATCTTATTAGCTTACTGTTGTCTTGCATTATACCTATTTAAATACAGGTTATAACGTTAATGAGTTGGTTCGTACACTGAACTATCGTGGCCAGCTGAAACTCACTACCAGATGCCACTTAACTCCTTATCCTTTTTCATTGGGATACTGTTAGGGTCACACTGTCTCCTGCACCACTCTGCCCACAGAGCCCAGAACTAGGGCTATGCTGGGGACAGAAAGAAGGAGTAGCTGGAATGCTCTGGACCTCGAAGCTGCTCTAACCTTGGTTATGTCTGAGCAGAGAATTGGGGAATTGCCGTCAACTTCCTGTCTTCTCCCCTTCTCCCTTCTACTTTGCTCCATATAAACTTAGTGAAGCAGAGAATCTGGCCCACAATTTTGTGGTTCAAGAGTGAACATATCTGACCCTTACACGTTTTGGGGGATGTGTTTTCTGAGATCTTACCTGAGAGATAATGACTTCATACAACCCTCTCTTAGTTTGTAATAAAGGAGTGACAACACAGTAAGAAATATATCTTCATTTCCTGGTCCCAGTCACCTGATCTGAGTCAGATTTACCAATGGTTAGTACTGTGTCACATGAGAAGGGTCAATACACATTGACCCCAGAGGTAACTGTTAAAAGGCCTGCTCAAACATTTGCTTATCATGTGAAGGAACCATTTGCTTGCCTCAGCAACTATAAGGAATGATTTATTGCCCTGTGTTGCATAGTCATGTATAACAGATGCTTTTATATTTCCCAGGTCCTGTCTGATGTGTTTAGTGCACCAGTATATACTATTGACACCGCCAACTCTGCTTGTTTAGGATGTGCTTACAGAGCAATTCATGGTAAGGCTGTAAAGAAAAGTCCTCCTAACAACCTGAACATTTAATTTTCAATCACCCAATGCCCATGGTTAAAGCTTCTGAAAAAAAGTGAAGAATAAATCCTAGTGGACCTGATCCATAGCCCACTGAAGTCAAAGGGAGTATTTCCACTGACATCAATAAAGAAAACATTGAAACCTTTTATGTTGGACATAATATTTTACTTTATTTAAAATGAAGTTTGATAAAACATAAGAAAGTTTAAAACACTTAATCTGTTTAATAATTAAACTAATCCGTTCTCCCTAGCTGCAGCACTAGCAAAATGGCGGGGTAATTATGTAATTAACGGTGAGTTTCCATTAGTAACTGGTAGTCTGCTGAAAGGTTTGCATTGACCCAGGTGGTCCACAGGGCACACAGTGGAGAGAGCCCTTCCTTCCTTTCCCACTGGGAGAGCAGCACAGCCCAGGGCAGGAGGGTTAAATCTTGGTACCACTTCAGGAAGGTTGCTGACTCTTGTTTTAGGGCTTCACTCACCATCACTTCTTGCAGCAGAATTTAGTCTTGGGCTCGCAGTGGCAGATCTTTTGCCTAGAGGATAATGTAGGGCACAACAACACAAACTGCCTGCAGTCTCCTCTCAGCTAGCAGTAGGGTCTGGACAAAATGGCAATGCAAATGGAAGTGGATGCAGTCTGCTGGGTGAGATGTGCAGCCATGATGCATTGATCCTCCTCCAGGAGATACCTGGGTGTTAATTAAAGCTCCTCTCCTTTGACTAAACCCACAAAGGAAAGGGGAAGAAGTTCAAGAAAACCAGCCTAGTAATAGTCCTGCCAAAATGGGCGACATTAAAATAAATCTTCAGTGTAAATCTTGGCATTTTTAAATGACAAACCATCTATCAGCGTATACAAGCTGTGCTGTGCTGCACATTCAAGCTGTGTACACTTCATGTTGTGAATGCATAAATCTCTTGCTCATTTCATTTACTGCCATAGATCACCAGTTGTAATGCAACAGCTGAAGTCCTAGAGATAAAGGTGTCAATTTGTGTATTGATGCAAAAACTTGTAATGGCTGGGTCCCAGCATTTTAATAATGTTGACTCCCAGGAAGGACTGTCTTCTTCAGGTATTTTGGAACACTTGAATAAACCATGACGTCATTTCCTGAGTATTTTACTGTTGAACCAGTTCACAAGTGTGGGCCAAGACCTTAGTCAGGCAAAATTCTCATAGGCCTCAATTACACATTTTAGCAATGGGACGGCTTGAACCCATGTTTGTGCAGGATCGTAACAGGGAGAAAGAAGCAAGACAGTGTAGATCATCACAAAAGCATGCAGGTTTCATTTACAGAAGTCAATTTTGGTTTCAGCTGCACGGTTACACCCACATTGACTGTTCTCACAAGTGTGAAGACAAAATAACTCTGCACAGCAGAGAAGCTGAATCAGTAATTTTAACACAAAAATATGCTTCTGCCACTTTGTTTTCAAAGAAGAAGCAATGGTGCCATCATTTAGGAGAGTGGAAATAAAGCAGCACCAGACTGTCCCAAGGAGTGGAGCAATCTGTGAACATTTTTACACTTTAGAATCAAATCCCCAAATCCTTCCTCTGTTTTATTCCAGATATGTCCTATACTTCAAAAATCATCCTTAATTTTTCCAGTATATGCTGCTAGAGGCAAATTCTTGTCCATTGAATGCAGCTTGAGATGCAGAGCTTTCCTTAAGATTTATGCAGCTATTTCATATGGTCAGAAGATGGGATTCCCTTTGTCAGTATAGTATTTGAAATCTTTGCTCAGGTATACTGATGTCCAGCCTGCCCCTCCCACCATGGCATGCTATGTGTTTTTCAACAGCATTTTTGATTGATGCTGTTCAGCTGTCTCCTCTGGCTGAGAAGAGGAATTGTCTAAAAATAAAGACTTGCTAACATAAATGAAATATTGATGACAATAGCCCTTTAACAGCATTATGATTTATATCTATAAATACAGTATTCCATAGTTGGTCTAGGTTGTTTGGCAGGAATAGCCAAGAATGCCTGAAACACCGTAGCTTACTCTGCAAGGGAGAATGCTATAATAAAGGGATTCCTTTGTATTGTTCACCTGCCTCATATGTCATCCTAGTTTTATGACTATTTGTAGAACACCTTTTTTATTCCATTTTCACATCTCCTCCCTACCTTTCTAGCTGTGCTTTTTATTTTGGTTACGCTTTGTCCTTGGATCTCTTGCTTCTGCATAATTTCACTGATGCTTACTGTATTATTGGTGTCCATATATGATTACTGCATCTCTGCCACTAACCCGCAGTAGAGTACAAATTGAATGATTGACATAAACTCAATCTCGAGTCCCCACTTTCCAGATTAGCGCATTGGAATGTAAGATCTTTGCCATTTATCCTTCACTCTTGAATGCTGACCTGGCGAGGGAGGATCAATATAATGTATTAATTTGCCAGTGAGTCAAGGCACATCCCTCATCTTGTTTTTGAGCATTGATCAGTATTGTGATTCTCTCTGCAGGGCTTGTGGCACAAACAAGTGTGTCCTGGGTAGATGTAGTGAAATTAGCACCAGAACCTAGATTAGTTGTTACACCAACTGCTGGGACAGATCAGGTGAGTAGGCTTTAGAATTTCATCATTTGCAGTTTCATTTCATTTTGTTTCATTTCATTTTCTGTATGTTTTAAGAATGGTTATTATATTTGCCAATTAAATGGATGTACTTGGAACTTTGGAGGCACTAGGATTGATTTGGGGAGATCTCTGTTTTTTTAGTGATATAGTATCTGAGTGCACTATATTCAGACCCATAAAAGAGTACATTTTCTCAATCACATACATGCAGAGAGGAAAAAATGTCAACTTTCAAGGACCAAAGTGTTATAATTTAGGCTTTAATGCCAGTGCTGGTCATTTGGGTTCTGACTGGTAATACTAACAGAGTGGTCTCTAGTTTCAGCAAAGTGGTACTTGGAAAGATGTGACTGAAGTTATTTTCTCTCTCTGGAAAAAATCAGAAAAATCCCTTCTTGCTTGGTTCTTAACATTGATCAGCAGTCACTCATGATAGGCATACACATCTTCTTTAATAACTTCCAGTCTGAACAACCATATGGTCGCTAATTAGAAACAATGCAGTTTTCTCGACGGCGGTAAACCTCGTTTTACAAGGAGTAACGCCTTTGTCGACAGAGTTCTGCCAACAAAAGGTAAGTATGGATGTGGGGAAGAATTTATGTCGAAAGTAAAGGCCTCCCGGAAGAAGCCCTGGTGGACATTCGTGCCATAGCTTTCAACTCTATTGTTCCTGCCTGTAGCCATCTTTAAAAGGCACAGGCACCCAGGATTAGCATTCTGGCAGCAAGCCAGCTACAGCCAGGACCCTGACTGAGCAGCTGTTCCTGGTAGGGCCACTCGGAGCGATGTCCCAGGGACAAGCCCCCCAAGATCTCCCTGGCCTTTCCAGGGACACATCCGCCCAGGAAGCCAGGGGCACCAAACGCTGGGCACCCTCCTGGTCTGGGCCCAAGATAAAAGCCCTCTTGGAGCTCTGGTCCGAGGAGGAGGCTCTTCAGGCCCTACAGTCCCCCCCCACTCCCACACCTTAGCCCAGGTCAGAGCCAATGTCTAGGAGCTGAGGCAGGGGCCACGAGCACAGTTCCTGCTCTTGGGAAACGGCATACTATTGTGCCTATTATGAGGACCTGGACCGGATCCAGGGGTAGGGGAATCCCTGCCTCCTGAGAGGGTTGTGGAGTTTGGGTTGGAGACCCCTGTGCAGCAGCGGCCGCAACTCCAGGGTGAGACCCCAGCAGAGGAGCAGCAGCTCCAAGAGGAGGAGGAGGAAGAGGAAGACACCACCAGGAGCACAGTGACCCTGACCTAGGAGCCAGACACCCAGACTCAGGAGGCCTCCCAGACACCTTCAGACACCGGGAAGGGAACATCAGGTGAGTGCTGTGAGGGTCCAACACATACAGGGCGGGGCAGACAGGAGCAAAGTGGATGGTGCAGTGCTGTGACATGTCATGCTGATCACAGCCATGGGGGGACAATGATGCCAGGTGCAGGCATGGGTTGGGGAGGCTGGGATTGCCACACAGCTTCAAGCCTCTCAGCTGTGAGAACCCCAACTGTGGCCTGACACTTGTCTGTGCTGCTTGGCCATGGGATGTGTGTGTTGGGGGGCTGCATGACTGACGACTTTTCCCTCTTGTCTTCCACAGCTGGACCAGCTGACCAGGAGGGGGCGCCACACCTGCCCCACCACCCTGATGGCTGCAGGGAACCCTTCGGCACTGGTGCATGTATTTGGACCTGGTGCGCGAGCACATCTTGGTCCTGCAAGGGATGCAGGATGCAGTGAACTGGAGGATGGAGGCAGAGGCAGAGTGGCGCAGGTACTTGCTGGATGAGTTTCTCCAGTAGCAAACTGAGATTTGCACTGCTGTCCGGGAGGCCATGGCCTTCCCCGGTCCTGTGCCTGGTCCTGCTCAGCCTGCCCGCCCCCTCAGCCCCTGCCATCCCAGACGCAGGTACAGCCCCACTTCTGATGGCTGCAGGGAACCCTTCGGCACTGGTGCATGTATTTGGACCTGGTGCGCGAGCACATCTTGGTCCTGCAAGGGATGCAGGATGCAGTGAACTGGAGGATGGAGGCAGAGGCAGAGTGGCGCAGGTACTTGCTGGATGAGTTTCTCCAGTAGCAAACTGAGATTTGCACTGCTGTCCGGGAGGCCATGGCCTTCCCCGGTCCTGTGCCTGGTCCTGCTCAGCCTGCCCGCCCCCTCAGCCCCTGCCATCCCAGACGCAGGTACAGCCCCACTTCCTGCCCAGCCCCCTACTGTCCTAGCCTGCATGTGCGGCCTTGTGTGAGAAGGCCTCCACAGCCAAAGTGCAGGGGGCTCTTCATCAAGGCAGCACCCTCAGCCCTGAGCTTTCCTCCCCCGTTCCAGGTTGACATTCCCCCTTCCCACCTGTGAGAGTCAGTAAGGGAAGCACTAGGGGGCTCTTCATCAAGGCAGCACCCTCAGCCCTGAGCTTTCCTCCCCCGTTCCAGGTTGACATTCCCCCTTCCCACCTGTGAGAGTCAGTAAGGGAAGCACTTTACTTTGTTTACAAACCCTTTATTTTTCTGAACAAAAGAGTATTTTAGTTTTTCAAAAAACCAACAGTGAAATAAACTGTAAACATTTTTTTCAACAACACCTGTCTCTGTTCTCAGTGTGTGATGAATGTGTACAATGTGTGAATGTGGAGTCGGGAAGGGTTTTGGGAAGGAAGACACTGGGGGCATGGGGCAATCCCACAAATGGAAGGCCCCGAGGAAAATCATCGGATTCCTTGGGAGAATTGTTCCCTCAGGGCTTCTCAAATGCCAGAATCCCAGCTGGTGGGCTTGCCAGATGGTAGCTGTCTGGGACTGCTCAAAGTGCCTCCCCTCCACATCAGCCCGTGTCCCCCACGTGGGGAGGAAGGCCTCCCCTTTCCTCTCCACTAGGTTGTGCAGCACACAGCATGCAGCAACCATATCGGGGATGTTGTGTTCCCCCATGTCCAGCTGAGTGAGTAGGCATCTAAATCTTCCCTTCAGACGGCCAAAGGAGCACTCGCCTGGAAGCGAGCCCAATTCAGGCGGGAGTTAGAGTTCCCTGCTCTCATCCAGGTGTCCCGTGAATGGCTTCATGAGCCAGGAAATAAGGGGGCACGCCGTGTCTGCCACGATGCACGTAGGCATCTGCACATCCCCGGCTGCATAGTTTCTCTCTGGAAAGAATGCCCCAGTCTGCGGTACAGATATGAGTTCTGGAATATGCAGATATTGTGTGCCCGGCCTGACCACCTGACACAAATGTCTGTGAATTGTCCCCGATGGTCGACCAGGGCCAGCAGCACCATGGAAAAGTAGCCCTTTCTATTAATATACTGTGCTGCTCGATAGGTTGGCACGCAGATCGGGATGTGAGTCCCATCGAGTGCTCCACCGCAGTTCGGAAAACCCAGCCCCGCAAATCCAGCCAAGATGGTATCCAGGTCTCCGAGGCAGACAGTCTTGTGAAGCAGCTCTGAGTTTATGGCTGTCACCACCTGCAGAAAGGGACAAATACAAACACACACAACAGGACATTAGAGGAGCTGCATGACCTGATGAGAGGTGCTCCTCCACCCTCCCCTCCCAGACCCCAAGAGCCCCCTCTCAGGCAGCCCCCCCCGTATCCTCCACACCACCGCAGGGTGAAGCCAGGCAGGTTTGTACCACTCCTACCTCATCCCCCATTCCCTGTGCCCGGTCCTGACTGTCCCCCTTATCCGTCCGTCCCCATGGACTGTCCCCCGAGAGTGACTGACCTCCATCAAGACGGCTCTGACAGTAGACCTCCTCACACCAAACTGATGTCCCACGGAGCGGTAGCTGTTGGGGGTGGCCAGCTTCCACAGAGCAATAGTGGCGCGCTTCTCCACGGGGATGCGGGCCACATGTGGGTGTCCTGGCATTGCAGGGCAGGGGCAAGCCAGTCACAGAGCTCCTGGAAGGTGGACTTCCGCATCCGGAAATTTGGGAGCCACTGGTTATCGTCCCGCTGCTGCATAACTAGCTGGTCCCACCGGTTGGAACTGGTGTCCAGCCTCCAAACTCGCCTCTCCAGGAATAAGTTTGGTGGCAGGGGCAGTGGGGCTCAAAGCTGGGCTCTGAATCCAGCTCTGCCGCAGACGTCATGATGCTCTCATGAAGATGCAGCAGAACTTCCATCATCACAGTGTGGGGCCATGCCTGCCCAGAGGCAGCTCAGGCTCCATGGCCAAAAACACAGTGAAAAGCACAAAAACAAACCTGAAAACAAACTGCTGTAGTGTCCGAGGAAGCAGGGCAACCAAAGCAAGAACTGCAACAGCGTTGCTTTCCCTCTAGGAGGTAGGCAAGCCAGAAGCAGGAGCAGAACAACAGCTGTCCAGGAGGATCCCTTTAAGCACGTGTCTGTGCAAAGAGCATGCAGCAGTGCCTGAAATTTAAGGCTGGCCCCTGTGACCTGCCAGGAGCACTTCTGGGTGCCTTCTTTTGTTGACAGAGTGTCCGGCAGTCTGGATGCTCTTTTTCGACAGTGGATCAATTTTTCGTATCAGCATCTGTTGACAAAGCCTCTGTCGAAAAAAGCCTGTAGTCTAGATGTACCTTTGATGTGCTGAAATACCACTGAGCCCACCTTCCTGCCCTGTGGAATGACCCACCACCCTGTATTACTGAGCCAAACCTTCTGGTTTCCTCCAGCAATGGCACAGAGTTGTGGTCACAGCCCATAGCAGAGTAACATAGACACGGAGATCAGCTCAGCTCTGGGAAGGCTTAGTCAAAGGGACTTGACAGCACCCAGGTGCACAATCCCAGTGGACCAGAACTAGGAGTATTAATGTTTAAAATGTTAACTGGTTAAACACTAGATTTAATAGATTGACTTTGGAGCAGCCCCCCCACCTGTGTCAGGCTCCTCCAGCCCAGCTATTCCCACCATGCTATGGGCTGCTCTGACCATGCTGGGCTGAGCCTTCCAGGGGGCTTCTGCAGTCTGCTTGGGCCAGGCAGGACCTACCATGGGGCTGCTTGGGCTGGCCAGCAA